CTTGGATCACAAGCTGACCAAAGTATGGTGCAAGACCCTGGATACCATGCACAACCAGGGTCTTTTTGTGATTATAGACAGAGCTTAGTTAGCAGCGTAACTGGGAGACAACAGAATGATTGTGTCGATGTGCACACCCAGGGATTACTTACAGCAAAGGTTGAGCACTGGATGAATGGTGCTTTGAAGGATTGAATCCAAATCAAATACTCACTCCACATCTGATCAACCTTTCAGTACAGAGGCAGCTTTTGAAAGTGGAACATGCCATCTACATGAAGTAATACGCTATGTACTGTGTTATGGCTGTAGTCAAGGTCAATCTTAAAAAAGAATAGAGCCTAAGAGGAAATGAAAGATGCTTACAATTGACAAAATGAACTGTCTGCATGGAAAATAAAATGCTGATGGTTAAAAAGAGGAAAGAGAGCGTAGAGAAATAAACAACTGCATGCTTGGATACGTTCTAGTTAAGGGATTCAAAATCACTAATGATTTACTGAGACTTCCATTCTCATGTGCCGAGCAGACAGAGAGGAATTATCAGGAATGTTTCACTGAACACTTGCTAGCTGCATTCACTCCCACCGCTTCCTTCATATGGAAATCAGGGAATAAATTAGCAGGCATCCTGCTAAGAAAGAGAAAGGAGGAGATTGAAAGCATGAGGCAAGGGGATGACATGTGTTGAGCTGGACATCTGATGCCCTCTCTATAAATGCCTGTGTTCTGACAGGAGGAAGCAACAATAGCCACGGCTGTGCTGAGTCACAGCGGCCTTCCGCACTAACCTCACCCTCCTGAGTCACACAAAGCATCGGCTCTATTGCTTGACAACCTAAAATGAGGCTCAGACCTCAAGTCAAGTAACAGATCCATGACATCAACCTGTGAACTCCAAGAGAGGCTTTTCCAACCATTTACCATTTTTTGAAGTGCAATCATTTCAGCAATTCTTCCTCCTCCTGTTGTTGCATCACTTCAACAAAGCGATGCCCAGTTGCATATGGGTTAATTGTAAAAGGGGGAAGGAGCATCATCACACTTCTGCCTCCCCCCAGCTGAAGTGTGGTTATGACAAAGGGCTGCGCTGGGAGTAAGCACGGGACAAAGGGCCTGAGCAGCTGGCTGCCCACAGAGACTGGGAGCAGCACAGCCCGGGCAGATGGGTGAGCCGGACAGATGCACCCTCACATTAGGGATGGGAGGGTGGGGGGGTTTAGGGGATGTGTGCCCTTGAAACAAAAATGAAATGAGGACCAGGTGATTTTAACAAAGTGTTCTTCGATAAGGTTTAGAGCAGTATCTACAAAGCAAAGCTACTGTATGTCAGACAAAAGATAATAAAGTACAACACACCATTTGTACAGTCAGCCCAATAACAAATGCAAAAGCATTGATGAATTTGTTGATACAATCCTTTTCATTCAGTGTATTAAAAATGCCCCTAAAGCATTCGGGTGTTGCTGATCCACTGCGCTCTAGTCAGACCGGCTGCATGGGACAGGATCGCCCCACTTTTAAGACTTGCATTGCAAGCTGAGGCTACACTGAGATTTCCAGATGGACCAACGGAATTCAATTGAGAATAGCGATTTTTGTTTTTTTAATTCCCATTGATTTAAGATCCAAATTGAATGTTGTTCCAATGTCCCAACAGCTAACCTTTTCTTTGTATGCTAGGCTGCTGAACTGGTTTGTTGGGAGTACACACTGGCCACAGCATAGGGCTGCAACAAACGACTAATTTGATAATCGATTAATCTATCGATTGATTAAACGATTAATCGACTATTCAGACTATTACTGTATGCCTTGCACAATTTCTCAAACGCTCTTATTTAGCCATCAACTTTTAGATGTAGCTTGAGGTTGTTTTAGGCACGTGGAAACTAACAATGACAATAAAGATGAATACTTGATTCAAAAATACATATATTATTAAATTAACTAAACAAATTGTGAACAAAGTTAACATTGCTTTTTATTTAAATTAAATAAATAATATTTCACATCAAAAGAAACAATGTTTTAACAAATGGTATTAAATAATGTGATGACAGAACTGTGAACAGAATAGCTGAAACTTTTACTAAATAAATAACTCTGTTACCTCTAATCATTAACCCATGTTTGTATCATTGAGTTAACTGTGTGTTCCTCGTGGATGGGGCTACAGAGCTGCTAGAAAGACAGTCGAACCCGGTGCATTCCTCCGTCTGAATGTGGAGCACTTTTGCTAAATGTTTAGACAAACTGCTCGTGTTACCGCCGTTACTGTACATGCTAAACTCTTATTGCACTATTGGCAACGAGCATTGTCCACCTCAAGACGGGTAAAGTTTAACCACACCTTGGAGCGCGTTCTCTCCGCCATCCCTGCCGTGTGTTGCTGCATGTAGCAGCCGTGTGTGTGTAAACTGCCCCGCCCCCTCGCACACAGACGGGAGAGAGATCGCGTCTGGATTGGAAAGATCGAAAATACATCATAGACGCATTTGTTTGTCTTTTTGCATATTAGAAACGAGTTGGCGAAACTAAGACTGCGATATAATGTTTATGTAGCAATAACACACATGACATATCTTTTTTAAATGTCTCCAGTACCGATAAAAAGACCGATAACGTTGGAGCTTAACGGCGCGTAAAACACACGTGATGACGTCACCAACGAATCGACGACTGAATTAGTTGGCAACTAATTTGGTCATCGATTTTAATCGATTAGTTGTTGCACCCCTTGCATACATACACAATTAACATACTATTAGTCTTAAACAACATGGCATTCCCCTTTCAGCTCCAGTGTCTGAATGCCTGTTGAAATGAGGAAAACACTCAATCTGAAGGATTCTTCTGTCACGCCTGCAGTCTGGATATGATGGAAGATCTAAAAAAGCTTTTTCAATCTCTCACTTGAGGAAATTGCCTGAGGATTGCTCTGCACAGAAAGACCTCAGCCTCTTACTACTGTATATTTCAGTGGTGAAAAACAGAAGTTCGGTAGACACACCAATGCTGTCCTGGGATAGGACGGCATGCAGAGCTCATCGAACAAACAGAGACAGGGGCAGCAGGGGTGTGAAACTGGTGGAGCCTGCAGCCCACCACCACAAGCTCTGTGTGCAACGAGGTGCTGAGAGGTGTAAGCTGTGCGATGACAGGCCCAAGGATCCGGTACCCTATGCCAGAGCCTTCTCAGATGACACGGGACCGACTGCTGTGCATTAATTACAGGCCCAGGTTACAACTGTCAACAGTATTGCAGTACTTCTGTCACTCAGTGTCAGGACCTGCCACTTGGCTATTGCTAAGAGCTGCCAAACAGAAACAACAACAGCTAGCCATTCACCACCATCAAGCATAATGGCACCCAAGGGCTCTCTTGGGGACCATAGCGCCCTGTGGGATACAGGGAGATCTCTAGTGCACCTTAATTAGCCCAATTATGACAGCAGGGGTAAAACAAAAGCGAGGAGCTAACTTGTTTACAGTTGAACAGTTTTCAAATGCTGTCTTGCCAAACCAAAAGTCATTCTAGAGTAGAGTGATTCCTTATATGGAGGCAGGGATCAGGTTCGCTCCAGGGCTTTGGAGTAGTTTCTGTTGTACACATTAGGGTTGCCAGAAACTGACCATGATCAAAATCGATTATTCGGCAGCCCTGTATTAATAATAATAGCAGCATTGCAATAAATAAATTGTGCGCGCATCTTCAAATGGATGCACTCAAAATGCATTGTTGAGGTTGAGCTGTGATAGACCAACGTCTTTTCGCAGAGCTTGCATTTAACTTCCTTTGGACATGTAAGTTCGAAGTAGTTCCACGAGGAGGAACTCTTTTTACCTGCCGCTTTGTTCATCTTTAGTCGCACGTGTGAGGGAGAGGGGGGGTGGGGGCGGGGGCGGTGTGTAATGTGCTGCAGCAGCAGTCTGCTCTGCACGCAGGCTTCCTCCAAGTTTACAGTAAAACAAACTGGTGGTGTGACCAATGGCCATTTACAATTATTAATACTATTACTATTATTAGCATTAGTCTATATTTTGGTTGAAACTAAGCCAGAAAAAATAAAATAAACATAAATAATAATAAAAAAATATATAAATAAAATCGATTTTAAAAATAATATTCGATTATGGAGACTGTAACGAATAATCACTGGCATCCCTAGTACACATGAGGGTGTATTAAACAACTTAGGCAAACATTAAGCCTGAGGGACACCGGCACCAAGCCAGCAGTTCGAGAGGCTACGTTTTCAATGCAAATTATTATTTAATGTGAACAAAACATGGAAAAAGGAAACTCTTGGTTGTTCACGTGATTGTTGTGCTTCAAAACATAGATGTTCATTTCACCCCCACACACACATCACCGTTTTGGATGAACAGACACCAAACTGACAATGTTGTCCTTCTTGTGATTATGAACCATCCAGATCTCTCAGGTCTTCAGGGACGGGTCAGCTTTCTGTCCCCAGAGTGAGAACTAAACATGGAGACGTTCAGTTATTATGCTCCAAATATCTGGAACAAACTCCCAGAAACCTGCAGGTCCGCTGCAACTCTGACTACTTTTAAATCCAGGCTGAAGACTTTTCTTTTTGTCGCTGCTTTTAATTGAACTATTCACATCTTAGACTGCACTGTAACTTTTATCCATGTATTTTGTATTTTAATGTTTATTTTATTAGCTTTTTAATGACTGATTTTAAAATGTTTTAAATGTCTTTCATTTGTTGTAAAGCACTTTGAATTGCCTTGTGTTGAAAGGTGCTATAAATAAACTTGCCTTCTTATAAAAATCTCATTCATGTACAAAATGAACAACAAATCAAGACATAGTGTAAACAGTAAGAGTAATTAATACAAACTATACGGATTAATCAAAGCATGGTTAGGCAGCATGTGCTACTGAAAAACCAAATGCAAACAAGCCTACACATTTTGTTTATCTCACTGTCTTAGTGGCATTAACTACTAGGACATGATGCACTTACCTTGTGAAGAGGGAGGACGAGGAAAGCTCCTCCACCGCTGGCTTCAATAATTATGGCAACAAACTTGGGGTTGACTGCACAGAAGGAGCTGTCCCATGTGACCCTTGACACCCGGATATCATCGTAGCATTGGTCATTTTTCGCCGCCTGGCCAAACACATGACGGAATTTGCTCGTACGTACAACTTGTCGACTCATATCTGTGCAAAGAGCAGAGGGGAAGATTTTGTGTTAGCAGTTTAAGAGCCGTACAATGAACCAACATATGGACAACTAGAGCTACTTGAAAGATTTGAGAACACAATACGGCAGCAAAGCTTTTAGAACATACATAAGCTTTTTTTCCCACAACATCCATTTCTTCACCCTCAGTGTGGCCATTACTGCTACAGCCGCACTAAGGGTGTCCCTGGAATTTCTGGGCAACAATTTCAGCGTCACTTTTGCCACACTGCCCTTCATTCCTCTGAGTGTAAGAATATAAAGCCATGTGGGGTTTTCCTCACCCCTGTGATCGCATATAGAGTTCAAAACTGATCCCATAGAAAAAGTGAGTATGAGGCACCTGTTACTAAACCAAATATGTATGGGGTTTAAAATGTTCCTAATTCACAAAGATGCAGCATAACAATAATAAACTAAACAAAGAGGGTGGATAATCTTACCCTCTGCATTGTGCCGAATTATCAAACATCTGAAACACGCTTCTCATGGGTCACAGGTGGAAGGGGCCAGTTGCAAAGAAAATAGGATATACCCAATACAAACAGACTTTGTAGCTGGTTCAGCTAACACTTTCAACAGGACAGGAAAATGCTGAAAACAAGCCCATTCAAAAGCTACACGTCCAAATGCTTCGCCTAAAATAACAGACCACTTTCAAAGTTGACCAAGGTCCAATCTGACCTACAACCCTCTCAAGGAGTCTTGGTTTTGTGAAACTCCTTCAATCTCTTGGTTTTCGACACAGCACATGGTAACAGTTTCCTAGTCTGAATCACCAACATGATAAAGGAGCAGCGCAGGATGTGGGATATGTTTTGGAGGTGGTTTCCATTGTGAATGTGTGTGTGTGTGTATGCATGTCCGTGTGTGTGTGTAAAGAGAGAGAGTGTGATACGGAGCAAGAGAGAAAAGATTAGTGTAAGAGAGAAACTCTTGTACGGCATGTTTCCGACAGAACAAGGATCACAACACAAGCAGGAAGTTCTTCCTGCAGGGATATGGGCGTGTCCTAACAGCTCAAAGCTTTTGAAAAAACACGTCAGTCATACCAACTGTTTATTTGTGATGTCTCCAATAGCAGGAAGTGTGCTAAAGGATTTGTTCACATTAGGAGTAAATAGTTAATGACACTTGAGTTGTAATCTTCCCTAAATTGAGGATTTGGCAGTTTTTACTGAGTTACATAGGATTTATTCAATCCTACTCTAAATTGTCCTGGATCAGAAGTGCATTTCATCTATGAAACTGACTTTCATTTATTTCGGAAAGGCTGACGCACACTAAGTGCAATGAACTGAAATCCAAGGCAGAACTCCTGTTGGATGAATGATTGTTAAAAAGTTCAGTAAAGACATTTTGAAGGCAACAAAAGGAATCGCTCTTCCTTCTAGTAATGTCACGATAGACGATTTGAGCTGCGGTATATGTTTTATATTAAAAACAAAACACTAAAAAAGGTTACAAAATGACACGCTTTGAAGGTCTCCTTGGTTTCCATAAGATTGATGCCAAGTTAAAAGTAAAAGATGTGTTCAAACTAGGGATGCCAGTGATTATTCGAATATTCGTTACAGTCTCCATAATCGAATATTATTTTTAAAAATCGATTTTATTTATATATTTTTTTATAATTATTTATGTATTTTTTTTTTTTTCTGGCTTAGTTTCAACCAAAATATAGACTAATGCTAATAATAGTAATAGTATTAATAATTGCAAATGGCCATTGGTCACACCACCAGTTTGTTTTACTGTAAACTTGGAGGAAGCCTGCGTGCAGAGCAGACTGCTGCTGCAGCACATTACACACCGCCCCCACCCCCCCCGCCCCCCCGCTCCCTCACACGTGCGACTAAAGATGAACAAAGCGGCAGGTAAAAAGAGTTCCTCCTCGTGGAACTACTTCGAACTTACAAGTCCAAAGGAAGTTAAATGCAAGCTCTGCGAAAAGACGTTGGTCTATCACAGCTCAACCTCAACAATGCGTTTTGAGTGCATCCATTTGAAGATGCGCGCACAATTTATTTATTGCAATGCTGCTATTATTATTAATACAGGCTACAGCCTGTATTAATAATAGCATTGCAATAAATAAATTGCTATAATAATATTTATTGCAATGCTGCTATTATTAATACAGGCTGTAGCCTGTATTTAATAATGGCAGCATTGCAATAAATACATTGTGCGCACATAGCGCATCTCCAAATAAAGGCAATGGCAGGCACTTTAGAAAATAACAAAAAAATAAACCAACATCATGTTAAACTGATACTGATACTGTTAAACATGTTCCAGTAAAGAAAACAACGGAATTCCTTTTGTCTGAGTTTTTTTTCTTCTCTCCCGCGGGGGGGAGTTTCTGGCAACCCTAGTTCAAACCACAGGTCGCGTTAACCGAATATTTTCCGTCCATGACGGATTTTTTTTAACAATGACGGACAAATCTGAAAGCAGTCCGTCATTTTGACAGATTAGAACAAACTCGGAACAGCACCAAAGTTTCCCCGCAGCGAGGCTCCGGTGTTATGCCGTGTCATGCATGCCCTCCAAAAAGGAAATCATACCGTTTCCAAACCTAACTGTGCCGTACAAATCATTGAAATGTCTGTGAAATGTCCCCCCCCCCCGTTGACAGTTCACGAGCATGCTCCCCCCCCCCGTCAGAGTTGTGTAAAGGCCGACGGGTAATTCTGGATTTTGACAGAAGTTTTACGATCCTGTCCGTCAAAATGACGGGCAGCGAAAAAGTCTAGCGCAACCTCTGGTTCAAACTATTTAATAATGTTAAGTTACAGTTCTAGAATGTTGAGTTACAATTCTAGATCAGGGCGATACTCAACAATGACCACTTTGTCATGAGGGAGGAGTGAGGCTTGTTTGCTTTCCTTCGGAGCAGCAGATTTGTCTCATAATGCTGCTGGAGTAGAAGCTACATGTGAAAGCACAACTAAATCAGAGACGGAGTTACAGAGTTGTGTCAAAATCCAGCTCAAACTGCTTCTTGGGCTGCGTTCTGATATTGTTATGACTATAAATGTTTATTTAAAAGATTTTTAAAAATGAATATTTACAATACAAACTACAAGTGAATCCTATACGGTCCAGTTAACATGCATGAGGCAGCGCTCCTCAGTGCTGATGTTGAATTATGTATCTGTAGAAAACACCAGCAATCCTAAATGAGGAGCCACATGGATTAGATGAGTTAGAGTTGATGAAGCCTCTGCCCTTCGGTAGAAACTCCCCTCTACACTAAATGCTGATGTGTATTAACTAACGCAGTGAAGAGCCCCTTCCACTGATTCTCCTGGTACATATAACTCCACTACACCTACTGAGACAGAGCCAATCAGGACATCAGTCAGCATCCTTGTTGTCAAATCAGGGATATAAATCAAGCACAGTTGGAAATATAACTTTAAAAGCGATTAAGCCACAAAGCCAATCATTATGTGCATTACGTTCTGTCTACATAAATTGGTCAAAGACTAACTGTACAATGAGGGATACTGTTCAGCTCAAATCCTTCATCAAACATGTCATGATTCAATCAAGCAAATATTAAATAAAAACCCTTTGAAATAAATTGGGTGAAAATAGGACATGGGCTAACATTTCCAAAATGTCACAGTGACAAATACCATAGAATCAATCTGTTTTTCTTCCTGAAAATGACAGGGAATAACATATCCATGGTCAACTCAGTGGGAGGAGTGCTAGTGAACTTAAGCTCTGACCTGACGTGTTTAGTTTCCTAACAGAAAACTATGCAGATAGTAATAAAAGTGTATGACGTATTGCATTAGATTCATTTAGTTTTTTTCCCTGGTATTGAATTTGCTATTGAGAATCCTGAAAATTCACTGGTATTGGCATCGCATACTAGATCTTTTTTATTGTGATAGGAGGAGGAGGCGTGTGGCGCAGTGGACTAGTGCAGTCCGAACAATGGGAGACCGAGCCTTCTGCTCATTCGCCCCGCGCTTCTCTGGAACTCCCTCCCACATCAGCTGAGATCTGCCCCTTCCACTGAGGTCTTCAAAACCGGCCTCAAGACCCTCTTCTTTCGGCAGGCCTTCCAATAAACTTTGAGCATGGTACACCTGGAGTACTGCCATTTTTATCGCTATCTCCGACTTTTATTTTATTTATTTTTATTTTATTATTATTACTATTATTTGTTTAATCTCTCAAATTGTATCAATGTCCTTTGTTGTAAAGCGCATCGAGATTTGTCTTGGCAGATGAGAAGCACTATATAAATTAAATGTATTATTATTAGTGCGTTGGTGTTCGGATCAGGGGGGCACAGGTTCAAACCCCACTGCATGTCGTTGTGTCCCTGGGAAAGACACTTCACCCCAAATTGCTCCTGTGGGGATTGCCCACAGTATTGAGTGTGTAAGTCGCTTTGGATAAAAGCGTCCAACAAGTAACATGTTATGTGATATCCATACTCAATTATTTTGTCGATACATTTAATTTGAGTTTACAAATCTGCCTTTGACTTCGAATAGAATGTAGATTTACCTACTCAATGAGATGCTTTTTTTTTTTTTTTAATATATAAAAAGCAGTTCAAAAATTCCCTTTATCCCACGGGCATAGCATGGGTGTATGGTTAGCTGCGCTCTGTCTCAAAGACATGTTTAGCAACACAGACATGCTGCCTAGCAACATCAGGGAAATACCAACACAGGAGAGAAAAACATTACAACAGTAAGAAATACAAACTTATGTCTTAAAAAGGTACCTAAGATGTCAAATGTGAACAACCGTTAAACTTACATTTGAAATGACACCTAGCTTTGCAAAACATGACCACATTAAAAAAGGTTCAGGTTTCTCTACATGATTTTAGTCGCTGAAACATCCATTGGCAATGCATAGTGCAGAGCAGCTGGAAGCCAGACCAATCAGCACACGAGATGAAGAGGTTGAGATGATGAGAGAACAAGCAGAGCTTTATTTT